TCTGTCCATCCATTCATCCATTCATCTATCTATCCATCTATCCATCTATCCATCCATTCATCCATCTATCCATCTATCCATCTATCCATCCATTCATCCATCTATCCATCTATCCATCTATCAATCCATTCACCCATTCATCCATTCATCCATTCACCCATCTATCCATCTTACATCTACCCATCCACCCATCCATCCATCATTCATCCATCCATCCACCCATTCATCCATCCATATATCAATCCATCCATCCATCATCTATCCATCCATCATCTATCCATCCATTCATCCATCCATCCATTCATCCATTCATCCATCTTACATCCATCCATTCATCCATCCATCCATCTGTCCAACCATCTATTCACCCATCTTCCCATCCATCTTCCCATCCATCCGTCCTCCCATCCATCCATGTTATGCTTTAATGCATGACAAAGAGCTCAGTGTGTACTGTGAGCTGATCCCATCCTTTCCCCAATGTCTCCTTTCTTCTTCTACGTCAGGTGTCATCCCGGTAAATTTTTACCATTTATTTTACATACCAAATTTCAACCTTGAATCATAATAAAAACACGACACCATACACTCCCAGTGAACCATGGTACTGTTACTTACTGATACTAAGGGGAATACTTGTACTATTCCAATTATGATTAGTAAGAATACAAAAAAAGTTAAATAAATGTAGATAAATTCAAATGCATTTAAAGCTGATGTGAATGAGAGCTCCTGAACAACGGGACTCCACCCTGACTGCCGACTGTTTCCAACACTGTAAATAAGATGCTACCCCTCCTGTGAACCTGAGTGTGGCTCCATGGCGAGCGGACAAGTCACGTCACAGACTGTTGACAAACCAGTCCATAAACTGCCCTCTGGGGCTCATTGGAGGTGTTTGATGGGTTTAGCATGTGCTGAAGGTTTGTTTTTATTATGGCAGTGTGTTGTTTGCTACATTGTTTGTGTGAGGCTTACAGTCAGCTGTGCATAAAGGAAGGCCACGAAAGGTCAGGGCTGCAGGGTTAGGCAGAGTTTACATGTGCAGTATAGTGGAGCTGGGACTTTATTTACACATGTACACAGCCGTGCAGGATGTAACCACTGCATTGTTTTTATTTGAATGGTGCCTGTGTTGTGGTTTTAAACTTTGTTGATGTTAATGTGTCGTCTTGTCTTTTTTTTTTTCTTTGTGCTATAAATGAGTACTTTGTCAATCTAAGGTTTTTCAGAAGAAAATAGCAAAGAACTTCAGTCTGCCACATATTCAAGTTAATATTTCTGACCTTTGACCCTGTAGCTAGCCACCACTGTTTTAGTATTTTTAAGTATACTATATTTTTTAAGTTTTAAGCATTGTTCTAAGTTAATTGCTTGTGTCGTAACAGAACACATCCGACAGTAGGTCTTGCTCTTGTCTTTGTCCCTGATGTTGAAGTACTGTATATTCAAACCGCTGATATTCTCGACCTTTGTGAATGAAGTACCGTGGAACCTCGAGATATGAACGTCCAGACATACGAGTATTCCGAGATACGAGCAAGCATTCTAGCAAATTTTCGCATTGAGATATCAGTAAATATAGAGATACGAGCACACTCACAGACGGCGACGCTAGGTGGCCGAGCAGCCTCGCCTCCTCAATGGTTCACTTCACGTGTTCGTACGCATCTCCCGCAAGTCCTCCGTATTGTGTTTGCATTATCTGCGTGATTTTCTCTATGATCACCCAGAGTTACCAGCTCGGTCCTGGAACGGATTATGCTCATATCTCAAGGTTCCACTGTATCTTCATTTACAAGGTAAAATACATTATGGAGTACTGAATCGCAGAATATCAGAGCCTGTTTTTGAGCATAAGTATTTGAATGACCCTTTGGTCCCCGTCATTTGGTACCCCAATATCAATACTTTTGACTAGTGTCACTACTTCACATAGTTGACCAGTCATCACACATGAGACTATATTAGGGTTCTTCAATCATCCGAGATGGATAATCTGATGAGTCCTGATCATTTATTTGGAAAAAATTGTAACAGTTATAACGTGCCAGAGATAAAAAAAAAGACACACCAGACCAACAAAAAGGATGTAGAAAAAGAAAAACATCAAGAACAGCATCAGTAGCCATGACCTGACAGATTCAGAGGTCGATGACTGAGCCTGTCGACAGTGAACGCTACAGAGATTTATCTGTGGTACTATAGAGATACATTAGAGATAATCTAGACTTCCTTACAGTTAATTTCAGTAGACACACAGAGCGTGTAGTCAGCAGACCAAATCTGTGTGTTATTAGTAATGTCTGGCACATCATAAAGAAGAGAATCAGACATCTGGAACCACAGACTGTTGAACGAGCAGGTCTGTGGAGGTGTGCAGCCAAGACTGTCAAAAATCCGCCAAACTCTAAACTTTTCTTCAAATGTTTTTTATCCATGTTGAGTGTGAAGGTGTTAGATTTTGGAAAATTGCCCACATACTCTGGAGATAAAAAAACAACCTCTGATCTGCTGAAAAACCTTCACTCTTAAAGATCACACACATCAGTGAAGATAATGGAGGTGAAATAGAACTGCTCTCACTTTTAGGCAGCTTCTACACCTTGACCAGCCCACTTTCAGATAACCTCCGCTTACTCTGGTAATTACAGTTAACGCAGAGAGCCGACAAAGTGCATGACAGACAATACAGTGGGTCTGAGAAAAGGAATTCTGCCATTAGAAATGCTTTCTGGAGCTTTAATTTAGGCCATCCTGTTCTCTCTGTAAGAGCATAGAAATTGCTGAGAGTAAAAAATGGACCATGAGAAGACAGAAAAAGATTTGTCATAATGAGTCTCGGAAGAATCGAGACAATTTCACCATCTGTAGAGTGAAAAAGTAGTTTTATAAAAACAAATCTTATCTTACATGTAAAAAGGACATTTTGCAAATTTTACCATTTTTACCTCATTGTTACAGATTTTGTTGTATGTATTTATTGTACAACTGTTTACATTGAATTTTTATAGATTTATAGGACAAAATGACCTGGAACTTGTTAAATAAAATAACATAAATACAAATGTTAATGTAAATTTAAGTCATGGAACAGCAAAAGTCAAATGCGTTAAAAATGTGTATATGGTACACAATGCTGATGTTATTGACAACAGTTAGAAATAAATTAAATCCATTAAACTAAACTGAACACTTTACTACAATTAAAAGGTTAGACCAGGCACCGGGAAACTATGGCCCGGGGGCCAGATGTGACTCGTTTGGCTTTTTAAACCGGCCCCCCTAACTTGTCCAAATTATAATATTAATTTATATTATCATTGTATTTCTGCCTTTTCCTGCAATGTCCAAATTTCTCCATTAAATAGCGTAGAAAAGGCTAAAAGCATTTTAGCATTTTAGCCTTTATGCATGACTTTTATACGTCATTCATGTTAGTTCACACAAACATTCCCTCTATCTGATCCTGACCCAGAGGCCCGTGTCAAATTTTAGGATCAATTGTGGCCCACAAGTCAAAAAGTGAGACGTTTGACCAAATTATATTTGAAACAAAGATAAAACTTTCTTAAAAAAAAAAGATAAACTGTTGACCTTGTATCATTTACAGCAGTTATGAATCAAAACACTATAAAAATAACAACTGTAATGTTCAAACTAATAGATTTTAGTGTTTCGTTTTTTTTTTTTGTTTTTTCGCAAACATTCACCTGGTTTGGATTTGTTGCATACAACATGTTTCCAAACAGAGAAGACACGGGAACGTTAGCTACTCTGTGACATGACTTTTCCTTTAACCAGACTGAAGGCAATTGAAGAAAATATTGTTTATTGTATATAGATTGTTTTTTAAAAATTGCAGTTTTTTTACCATACCTGCTCAATATACAACTTTTGCTACATTTTTGTTTTGTTTGGGGTTTTTTTTTCTGTTAAGGTAGCTAAAAAAGCAAAAGCAAAATATATCTTAAAAAACAATTTAACTCAATATCCAGAATAGTTTCTGGGGCCATAAATAGAGAACCTCTGTTAAAAATGTATTTTATTTCTCCTGTGGTTCACAGTGGAGGAAGAGTCCAGACCAGACTGCTTGGTCCATGCTGGTCCTTGCTGGTCCAGCTGGGGCAGCATCATCACATCCTGTGGAGAGGACTGGGTGTTAACTCTTGAGTTGAGGCGGGGAGAAGGAAGCCCAGTGGACCAACAGCACTTGGAGAGTGGCTGCGGGGAGGTGGTGCTGGCTGGTGCTGCTGGAAACATTCCAGCATCCAGAAAGTGGATGAAGGTGGATTATTTTGGAGACACTGAGAGAAGGAGACACGTTTTTCGCTTATCCAGAAGGAAAGCCCATGTAACCAATCATGTTACGTGGAATTACTTGGATATTCTTCCTGTGATGTTCTGGAATGAAAAACTTGCACCGGACTATGTTTTTTAGCAGTTTTTGGGGAGCTCCTCTGTGTATGAAGTACATATGACTTTTCTCTTCTCTGTATGTTGTGTTGCGTCCACTGTTTACGGTGGAGCTGGCAATTAACAGAATCTTAAATCCATGTTAATTTTCCTACCAAATGAAGGACAACACGAAGGCAGAGTTGCCACCAAACGTTCAGCTTTCTGGCATCTTACAAATGCAGCTGTAATCACCTCAGGGGAGGCTGGAGTACTTAAACGGCTCCATCAGCAGAAAGAGACAATCAAGCTCCTTTATGCTTCAAGATCAGAGGCGGTTTTTGCACATTGTCTCGTATGAATAGCGTGATCTCCAATTGAGCCTCTTCACTTTGGAGATTTGTCGATTTTCGAGGATACATCTATTGAAATTAGGATGTTCCGCCAGCTCCTCTCTCCTACTCTGCTGTCATTTTCTTGATTGACACGTGAAATTGACACTCGGCTCCGCTCTTTTCAAAAAAAGCGTTTCAATCCGCCGCTAATTGCACTTATAGTGCCATCCATTCTTTGGCAGCGCGTGTGATTGCATGGCAATACGGAGCCACATTGCGCACGATCGATCATGCAGTTGTTGTCTTTTCTTTCTTTTTTATCTAATTGCATCAAAATCTCCTTTGTCAGCAGGGTTTAAATGCAGGAGAACAGGAGTTATTCCTCGTTTTGAAGCGGATATGCAGTAGCGTGGGTCGGAGCAGAGATGCGTACCGCGCAGAGCGAACTCCATCTTCTCTGCAAATAGGCAGCGTCCAAGAGCCGAAAATGGTGAGTCACGCAACATCTGGAGCAGTTTGGTTTTCACCCTCTGGAGTTCCTTCCTTTTCTCAGGTTTTCCTCACTCCTTCACTCTCTCAATTTCCAAACTTTTTCCGCCCCCGGATCTGGAGGTTTGGAGCAGCGGACTGTGTCGACTGTCTGATCGGAAGGGTTTAGTGCATGACATGAAAACAACAAAAAAACAAACAAAAAAAACACTGAAACTGATTTTAAATGCTTTGAACCAGCTAATTCTAATTTAGGTGATATTTAAATGTGAAGTTGTTTAAGTAACTGTGAGCAAATGTTCCAGATTGAGGCGTTTTAAACCACATCTTTGTTTGTTTACTGTACCCGCGAAAGATAGTTAATTAATTAAGACAGAATGTCCCGGTACATCGATTTAAAAACTGTATTTGTTTCTTTACCACAGTCTAAGTCGGAGGTGAAGAAGGAGTCGGGTGATTCCAGTCCCTCGGAGGCCTCCTGTCTCTATTCTCCTGCGGCCAAGAACCAGTGCGCCAGCTGCGGCTTGGAGATCCACGACCGATATCTGCTCAAGGTAAGGAGAAAAAAAAATTAAAAAGAAAGAAAGAAAGAAAGATCAGAAACATATAAAAAGTGATTGTTTAAATTTGACTTTTTTTTTCTTCCGTTGACGTTTTGGGAAATTCAGTGTAACTGTTTTAGGGAAATACGTTTTATACGAACCTCATCTTCTTAGCGGAGACTCGAAACAGTACTTTAAAAAAATAATTATTATATCTGTATTTATACTGTTACTGTTTGTCCACAGGTGAACAACCTGAACTGGCACCTGGGCTGTTTGGAGTGTTCCGTGTGCAGAGTGTCTCTGAGCCAACACAGCAGCTGCTACGTGAAAAACAAAGAAATCTACTGCAAACTGGACTATTTCAGGTAAGACCGCTGTCTTTTATTAAAAATATATATTCATTATTTTTCCTTCATTCTAAAATCTGCAACATTTCGCTGATTCAAAACATACGTAAATACAGCGTAGTCCAAACAGCGTAAAATACATTTTAATATAATAGAGGTTAAGTATTTTTAAATGGATACTGTTATAATAAAGCACATTTAAGGTACATTTTCACGTATTTAAGTATTTTGGAATTTATTTATGCACATAATTGAATTAATTGTATAATTAATAGTTATTTGTTAAATATTATTTAATTTATTTGTAATCATTTTAATCCTAATGTATTGCGATGTGAAGATTTAGATTTGTTTTATTCTGGAAATATAATGTGCAAAAAATGATCACGTGATTCGGCACCAAATACAAACTTTAAATGGACATTTTGAAAACCGTGGTTGTTAATTTAATTTTATCTTCGCGCCTCAAACATTTTAGTCTACATGATTTATCACATATAAATATATGTGTTGAAATGATAGTCTGCCCAAACAGGACCAGACAAAAAAAAAATTAAATACAAATATCACCCACAGTCCGCTCGGGAGCTAAAGGCCAATTTCAAAAACGTAGCGTTGTTTACGGGGATGGTAGTTGTCACTAGGCAGTTTACAAAACCATTATAAAGCACAGGGTTGAATGTTAATTTTATTTTTGGCAGTTTTTACTGATTTTGATTCCGTAGTAAAGAAAAAGAAAAAGCAACAAAAGGATTTTTTTTTTTGGAACTGTGGTTTACAGTAGCTGTTGGAGCCTGTTTGTGTTTGTTAATATTTACTAATTATCACTGATGTCTTAGATAAAACACTCCAGTGATTTTTGTTGGAAAATGTGTATTCGTAAATGAAATAATAACAACAACAACAATTACTTGCGTCATGCTTTATTGTTATTTTTCCTCTTAAAAGGACTTTTGTTGACACAATTGATGCCATGTGGTACTACATAAACCTGCACTAATAAAAACTACATTCGATTAAACCCTTTAGGATTTTTTTTCTTTGAAATTACATAGCTACAGTAAGGTTTTACAGACTTGTTTTCAGAGAAATAAATATTTAAAAACCACCAAAGCTTGGTTCAAAGGTTTTGTTCAGTTAATGTGAGCATAAACAAGACGTCAACATGGGGTTTGCAACCCTAAGGGGTTCCGTGAAGGTGCTGCAGGAGGGTCATGAAGTCTGGATTAATTAGACTTTTTTGTTATATAAATGTTTCCCCTTCTATGTCCTCAGTGTACTTTGTATAATTTTAAGTATAAGATGTGATTATATAAATAGTTCAGTACTGATAATAACTATGTTTATACATAGCACAAGGTCCGGGAAAATAGAAAACATAATTTATACAACATATAGTAGGGGATGCTCCATCACCCGTGATCTTAATTAATTTTCTAATCTTAATTCTATTTTATTTAAAAAACAGTTAACTCCATAGAGGCGAAATGTGTTTGGTGAATCTATGTTTAAAAATAATATGGCCTTAAACCCTGCCATACAGTGCAGAATACTCCAGTAGTAAAGTCATCTGTGAAGTACTGTCTAACTGACAGTTACACAGACAATTTATGCTTGGAACATTTATTTTTTTTCATGAATTGATGGAAACCATTACCATGTATATAAAAATACTAGTTATTTACAGTACACCGGTCGTGAACTGTGTATCCACGTAAACACTCACAGACAGGTAGAGCACAGGTCGGCCTAACCTTCACCTGCCGTGTCTCTGCTCCCTCACAGTAGGTTTGGCACCAAGTGCGCTCAGTGTGGTCGGCAGGTGTACGCCAGCGACTGGGTACGACGAGCTCGGGGCAGCGTGTACCACCTGGCCTGTTTCGCCTGTTACTCCTGTAAGAGGCAGCTGTCGACCGGGGAGGAGTTCGGCCTGGTGGAGGACAGGGTGCTCTGCCGCAGTCACTATGACATCATGCTGGAAAACCTGCGCAGGGCAGCAGAAAACGGTAACACACGTGATGTGATCTCGACGTTGATGAAACCTGGGGTCTTGGTGGCAAAAAAGGGATCGGTTTGAGTTTGAGTTCTCAGCTGAAATAAACAGTTTAGGTTTGTTTTGGGTTTTTTTGTTTGTTTTATGCCAAATTCTTCCCTCACCAGCCTAATTGACAGACTAGTTTTTGTAGTATTTTTTAAAAATTATTCTGAAGATAAAATCTAAAACATAAAATACATGTATAGAACAAACGTCTCAAAATTAATTTTAGTTTTTAATGACAAAATATAGATATTGTTATTCTCTGATTTAAAAAAGTAATAAATATAAACAATTAAACATATTTTTTCAGTTTGTTTTTATTTATTTAGATTTCCTGCCCAGCCAATTCCATGCATATATATATATTTCATGCATATATATATTTACTATATATATAAATTACACATTTTCTTTACTGAATCAAAACCTGTGTTATTAGTTGCTTACTTTGCAAATATTTTATGTTTCTAGATCAATCCTGCAGAATTTTCACGTTGACATTCCAGTGAGTCACCAGAGACGGGTTCGTCTCTTTCCAAAAGATTCAACATTTTGACACACTTTTACTTATTACCCACCTAAACCCTGACAGTTTCCGCAATCATAAAACTTTATAACCTCATAAATGCTAACTTGAGTTAATTTTCTCCATGTACTTCTTTTATTGCTTGTCACCTTTAATAGACTTATGAATCATCTTAAACAGTTGTCAGGTCACTGCTATGACAACAAAGACCAAATTCCTGGAGACTGAGCCTCTGATTGATGCTCCCTTTATACACACTTTCTGTCACTGTTTACTCACAGGGGACTGTAACTCACTTAATGAATGACTTAAGAAACGTCAGATCCAATGATAAAGAAGATATTCCTGGGCCACTGCCTTATCCCTCCCCTGTACTGGAATAATCTGATTCTGGTTGAGGTTCTCTGGAATGGGACGAATGGATGTGATATTGCCCGTCTTTGACGTCAGTGATTAAATTTCTAACAAATATGAGGTTAAATTGTACAGACATAAATTATATGTGTACAAATACATCTGGGTGCCTGCCCACCTAGGCCAGTTGGATATCCAGTCTTGGTGTACGCCTCAGTAACAACTGTTAAAAATCATTTCGACAACCTTTGATCACTTCAGCTGCAGAAGTTTCCAGTTCTGCCTTCAGGTCTCCTTCTCTGCAGATTTTTCCACCCTGGCTCCCAGACCTCGTCAGAGTCCAGCTATTCACTGCAGTCATGTCACTCCATCACAGGACTGTACTTTAAGTCCTTATTAAGATAGAGATCTCAGGGCTTTGTACAGTTAACGTGACAATAAACAAGGACACGTCATCGAGCCGCGCTGTTTTCAATCTTTATTAGGAAGGAGCGCAGCTGAGGGCTTGGAGGGGCCGTGGGTGAGAATTAGAGTTTGAGTTTTGCCCGCTGAAGTGATTCCAAGGTTTGGTCTGAGAAAGAAAAACATTTCAGACATTAGAATGAGCTAAAACCTTTATATAAAACACACCAATGAAAACAAAATCAACACTAGCTTTAGTCTAACTCTGTTGGTTTTCCCGTTGTGTTCTGATGTGAAGGACTTTGCGCTCTGTCAGCACTCGCTGAATGATATGTAGGTCAGGTTGGTATAAATACGCCGGGCCGCGGTTTTGGCAAGAAAACATTTTAATTACTTGCCTTGTCTGCATGGTTTACAATACAGAGCTGTTGGGGCAGTCAGACCCAGTGTTGCAACGTGATAAGTGGATTTGGTATTTGGAGCTGAAGTGACGAAAGACGTCTTGTTGTCCACAGGGACAGGACTGACCCTGGAAGGAGCGCTGCCCTCTGACCAGGACTGTCAACCCAAACCAGCCAAGAGGGCACGGACGTCCTTCACTGCCGAGCAACTGCAGGTACTGTATTACACCTGTACTGTATGTACGAGTATATTAGTGTACTTACAGTGATGGACTAAAGAAAAGAAGCAGCGACATTAGGAGTTAATATATATATATATATGGCACTACAAACATATGTATATGAATATGAATGTATCTAAATATATATATACGTATAAATATATATATATACACACATATATTAATATGTATGAATATATGAATATGTCATGGCACTATAAACATATATGTATCTATCTATATATATTTTTATGTATATAGATAGATACATACATATATTGATATATATACATATATATGGCACTACAAATATACTTTATATATATGAATATATGTATCTATCTATATGTATGTATATTTATATATTTATATATGTATAAATATATATATAGATAGATAGAGAGATAGAGAGATAGATAGATAGATAGATAGATAGATAGATAGATAGATAGATAGATAGATAGATAGATAGATAGATAGATAGAAGATAGATAGCATGCATTTGCAAATTTTTTTTTCTCTTTTTTTAGTTCACTAATATATTGGCGTTATTTATCTATATATCGATATGTATAGATATGTATAGATAGATACATATATGTAATATATGTATCTATCTATTTATAGATATATATCTATTTATAGATAGATAGATAGTATGCATTTGCAAATGTTTTTTTCTCTTTTTTTAGTTCACTAATATATTGGCGTTATTTATCTATATATCGATATGTATAGATATGTATAGATAGATACATATATGTAATATATCTATCTATCTATTTATAGATAGATATCTATTTATAGATAGATAGATAGTATGCATTTGCAAATGTTTTTTTCTCTTTTTTTAGTTCACTAATATATTGGCGTTATTTTGATATTTTTTTTTATTTATACACATACATTCTAGGAACTTTAGCCTGAGGCACTAAAGTCACTACTGCCACTACGGTGTAGGCATGATGCAGCAGTATGTGGTGTTGTATATACATGCTGAGCGTAACGCCGTCTGTTCTGACAGGTGATGCAGTCTCAGTTCGCTCAGGACAACAACCCTGACGCTCAAACTTTACAGAAACTTTCAGAAATCACAGGCCTCAGCAGAAGAGTCATACAGGTGAGGACACCGTCATATGACACACAGGACAGCAGGGGGCAACATCGAAAGATTCACCAAGTAAACGCTACTAATGTAAAGTAACATTAGTAGCATACAAGTAAAGAAAGAAAAATAAACTTAATAAAATTCGTATTTAGTTTTAATCTAGTCAAGTAAATTTGAGATATTCATTTCAACTTTTTTTACTTTATGTCTTTTAGAACAGTGTTTCCCAAAAAAAAATTTCTGGGCACCCATATTTTAAAAGTCACAAACCTTCACGACCCAAGTCAATAGACATTATTCGTAACCTCCTGGGAAACATGATGCCAGATGACCCAAATATAAACTTTTGCGACCCACCTGAGGGTCGCGACCCAGTCTTTGGGAAACAACGATTTAGAATATTTTGACTTGTGTGTTCAGTTTTGTTTACAGACTAAATAACAAAGGGATGTAATTATTTACGAGTTGTTTGCTTAGTCTGTAGAAGTCAGTGTGGTGGGTAGTAACGAGTTACATTTACTTGAATACGTTTTTCAAAATAAAATACTTCTAGGAGTAGTTTTAAATCACTATACTTATACTTTTACTTGAGTAGATTTATGAAGAAGAAACAGTACTCTTACTGCACTACATTAGGCTATAGCTATTAGCTCGTTACTCATTACAGAGATACTGGATAAAGCTTTAGCCATCCAGTATCCAATTCACTATTCATCCGTGATCCAGTATCTCTACTTTTATTTTGTCAGAAAGAGACTTCCGCTCTTCTTCCCCTAAAACAAACAGATATTTCAGCATTCAGAAACTCAACTTCTAACCTCAGGGAATATGTTGTGGCAAGTTTGACCTTGAATCATTGTGTTTTTTATTGTTACTTTGTAAATATTTCATTTTCTATTGCAATACTTGAATTTACCTAAACATTATTTTAAGGCATTTAATTAATTCACTTTATTTTATTATGTATTGATAGGATAAACTCTCCTCTTTATAATTTTATCTATCTGATTGAATGCTGATCAAAAAATAAATAAGATAAATCAGTTACTCAACAGTTACTCAGTACTTGAGTAGTTTTTTTCATCAAGTACTTTTTTTACTCTTCCTCAAGTAATTATTTGGATGATTACTTTTTACTTTTACTTGAGTAATATTATTCTGAAGTAACAGTACTTTTACTTGAGTACAATTTTTGGCTACTTTACCTACCTCTGCATTTAAGACATAAAACATATGAACGACGGACATGACCAAATACAACTAAGAGGGGAGGAATTTATTGCAAAAATAGATAAAGTGCAATTGTGAATTTTAAATATTCTATACTTTCTTTAAATGCATGTGGTATAAAAGTATCTTTGAGTCCTGGTTGTATTTACTCAGTATCTCCCCTCCCCCAAAATAGAATGACATTAACTTTTCACTCTCTAACATGGTGAAGTGTTTACATTTTCCTCCAAGTGTTGACAATGATCTGTAATATTTACCAGGTTTGGTTTCAGAACTGCCGTGCCCGACACAAAAAGCAGCCGCTCCAGAACACTTTCTCCCAGAGTGCTCCTCTGTCCAGGATGCCGCCGTCACTTCCAGAGGATATCCACTATTCTCCGTTCAGCAGCCCCGAGCGACCACATCTACTGGCTCTGCACGGATACTTGGACAGTGAGTGTCAGTCTTTAATTCCATGGTGATTGTTTATCATTGACAACATGAAATTCAACACAGATAAAAACACAGTCTAGGATTATATTTTATGCTCTTGACATTTTTTGTTCAGCTCCCTGGTGCCAGCGGCTACTACGACTTTTGATTTTGTTCATTTGAATTTTCAATTTGTTTTTCACATTTTATAAAAAAAAAAACAAAACTTAAATTATTCTCCTTTTTTTGTTTATGTCTGACAGCTGGTGTTTTTCATAGTTATATCCGACAGAGAATGAAAATTAGATTTTTTAATAATACATTCATTTATTGTTATTGTATTTATTTCGGGCCACTTTTGCTAAAAATATTTATTTGACACTTTCTGGTAATTTAATTAATTTCTCAAATATCCTTTAATGCGAAATTGAAGAAAACCAGAATCTGAAGACAAAACACACAATGGCATTTTTGAAACTGAAAAAGTAAAAATGAATATAAGGTTTTTTTAGATGACTGTAGGAGTTAGAAGTAGAAAAGTAAGAGAAAATGAAAAATTGATTATCAAAGCATCATCCAACGCTTACACATTTTTATTTGTTATTTACAGGAACATGAATTAGAATCTGAAATGTTCACATAAAAAGTTTACAGGAAGTAAAAAACCTAATTAAAAAAAACCATCAGATTCAGATTACATTTCTTTATTCCGTTCTCATACAATGTCTTTTTGCATTTGACAGCAATGTGGCATATATTCAAATATTATATTATATATTAAATTAAAATCATGTTATTTTATTGTAAGTTAAATCAGCATCAGTCACTGTTTTTGTAGAGAAGATTATTTAATTATACGATTGTAGAAATAAATAAATAAATATAAATTCAATTCAATTCAATATTAAGTTTATTTATTTCTTTATGTCAATTTGCCAAAATACAAAGTACAAAAAACTGCATTTAAATCATGATAAATTCATTTCTTATATGGTATAAAACATAAATCTGAAATTAAAGGAGTTCAAATTCTAAATTGTTCAAATGTGAGGAGTTTATATTTGTAATTTTGAAATTTGTCGACAGCCATTCATCAAACCTTCATGTAAAACATCCGACTCTTGTGATGGGTCATTTGTCTGGAGCGAGCAAAACAGCGTAACACAAACTCACTCTCGTCTCTTCTCGCCACAGCTCATCCCTTCTCCGTACTGGCAGCTCCAGGACATTTGACCCACCCATCCATCTCTTTACCACAGCTTCCTATCAGCCGCTGACCTCCCGTCTCCACGTCTGTCCCTCCTTTTTGTGACCTAAAATAAGAAAAAAAAAGGAAAAAAAATGACAAATCTATTTTTTTAGCTCCCGTGGTACTGTTGTTGTGTCTGCACTGCTGTGGAGGAAAAAGAAGGAACAACCAGACAATCTGTTTCCAATCACTCCGCTCCTGAGCTTTGACACTGTAAAGTTATGACGGGGTTGTAGGATCAGCAGATTGTGGTCACGGGAGAGACACAGACTGCCTTCTAGAATTTTCTATACTTGTGTAAACAAACACCACTTAAATTTCATTTCACTTTATGTTTCTGTAAAAGGACAGAAGACACCACATCAGGTCCATTCCTTCATGTTAATCCCATCATGTACATCAGTGTTTCCCAACTTTTTTTCTGGGGACCCATAGTTTAAAAGTCACAAACCCTCACGACCCAAGTCAATAGAAATTATCCCTAAACTCCTGGGAAACATTATGAGAGACGACCACCCCAAAACAAAAAAATCTCTTGCGACCCACTTGAGAGTCTTTGGGAAACAATGATTTACATGACTTTTAATTTAATGAAGTTCAAAAAACTAGTGTTGTAGAAGTGTTACAGTAAAACCTCGATACTTCATCATTACTTGGAGCTGATGAGCACATTAAGCAGCTTGACTGTTGTTCGTTGTTGTGATGTTGTCTGGATATGGAAACTTATTTATTCAGAAGAAAAGCTTCACTTTTTAAAAGCACTTTCAAATGAACGTGTCTGAAACGGGAGGTGGGGGTGTGGGGTTGGGAGGGTAGGGGGGGACAGTGATTGTACAGTGTAAATACTGCTGCCGTTGAATTAAAGGCATCCAAAGTGTTACCAAGACTGAGTGTGTGTTCAAGTGTGTGTATCTACATTAAAATAAGGTCAAAATGTCAGAGGTCAAGTACCTGTTGTAACCTGTTATTGCACTGCCACACACATGCCATGTCCAATTTACCAGCTGTACTTTAGAGGAAATGTGATCAATTCTTCAGAGTGAACCATTTCACAGGTTAAAGTGCAACCATTGTGTTAGCGGTACGTTAGCGCTCACGAGGTCTTTTAACACAGATTATCCACAGTTTGTCGCATTGATTAGCAGCACTTAAGCAAACGTAAAAAAAAACCCACAAATTCGATGTCCCAGAATGCACGTCAATTTTGTGACTAGCCTTTCAGCATCCTAGAGAAGCCAGCATTTAAATTTTGGTCCCTAAAGTGTGACACTGCTGCTTTATGATAAAAGATACAGAGAGGTCTGTACTACCTGTAGTACGTGTCAAACTCAAGAAAAAAAGTAAATGGATATGACTGGAATTACTTTGAATGAAGTAAATTAAGTTAAAAGTTAAAATTAAGTACATTTTTAACCATGTCCCACTGTGGCCCGGTACCAAATGACCTATGGACTGGCACTGATCCTCGGACCGTGGGTTGGGGACCCCTGATCTTTCCAGTCTTCCATTTACAACCAGCCCTTCAAGGGGAACTGTATTGATGATGTGGAGCCCGGTGAAAATAAACTACACAGTATTGCTTCTACACCACTATAGTATTCACAGAGCTGAAAACCTTTACACAAAGACTCATCTGTTCATATTTTAATTTTCTTTGTTTTTAACAGAAATTATATTGTTTATCCCCGAAGACTCCCTGTGGAGCTCCATGATTAATTTCAGTTTGTCTCTGCTATGCTGCTGCTGCACGTTTTTGTCTGGGTTGGTTACAGAACAAAAGCAAAGAGGGTTTTTTTTGTTTGTTTTTATTCAGTCTCTGTTAGAGAGACTAGATATATAAGTAGATATATTACTGTGCATTTGACAGTTTAACATTTGTTGCAGTGAAAGTTTAAAACTTGATATTTTGTACTTTTTTCTCTATTTCTGTTTATTTATTCGGCATAAATAAAAAGGTTGTGTTGTTGCTGGACGTCATGCTTCATCTTATTTCCCTCTATAATTTTCTTACTTTACCTCACTTTCTTTAGTTAAGAGCAGCTCAAACTGCCACTGCAGCAGGTTGTACAGCCATGAAAAGTGGAACTGTTTCAGTTCTTGAGAACAGGAGGTATTTTCTTACCTTTTTTTATTACAGTTTTAGCTGATAAATGTCGAGTAAATAAAGTTACAATAATGCATAATTAATTATTACTAATTTAATTTCATATGTCCGACAGGGCGGCGCCTATTAAACTGCCTTACACATCAGTAAGTAAATGCTTTGACTGTAACGACCGAAGAATGTTACAGTGTTTTAGACGAAGACACTAAATTAAAACAAAACTATCTGAACAAACACAACTCACACCCGTGACACACCCGTGGTTTTTTGGCTACGGTAGAGCAGGCTGCACAGGCCTGAATACGTGTGTGTGAGGACATATTCTTCTTCGTCATCTTTCTTAAAACTTAAAACCCCCCCCAAAATTAAACCTTCTTCTAATCAATCAGTTTCAATCCATTCAATCAGGAGGAAAACCTGTTTGGGGAAAATGATGCTGCTAATCCTAAAATTTTAGAACAAAATCTCCATCTTCATGCAAAGTGGAGAGATGATGACACAGTTTGGGCCACCTGCCAGCACTACACTGTAAAAATGCACATTGCTTCCCCATTAAAGTCCCTCTCTGATATGAGAACTTAAGGCAGCATTTAGACATCTGCCCCACTCCTCCTCCCTCTCCCACCACCACCCCTCTCTCTCCCTCTTTCTCCCTCTCTAGCTCTACATGTGTGTGAGCTGAAGTCATCATGTGATGTGCCTGCCGTAGTGATTGGCATCTTCAAGTGGTTGCAGATGAAAGTGGGCCCCCCCATGCTAATGAATAGGCCCCTGATTGTATAGCCGCTCGCTCGGTGAATTAGAGCGCTGCCGCCTAATGAGCAGATACACTGCAGTGCCCCCTTGTCTCTACGTATTCATTACTCTTTTTCATGCTGATGAGCTCTGCCTGGTACAACAGTCAACAAAACCTCCGCACAAGACTGCAACACGAGACATCTTCATCACTACCCTCCCTCCTCTCCTCCTCCTCCTGCCCCTCTTCATCATCCTCCTCCTCCTCCTCCTCCTGCTCAATTTTATTTCCGATGCGGCCATAGGCTGGCAGATCCTTGTGTTTTGTTTTGTTTTTTCTCTTTTTTCTCTTTTTTTAATTTTTTTTATTTTAATCTTTTATTCACTGGAGGATTTTATTCCACTGAACTGATGATACTGTGCAGAGTAACTGAATGGTTGATTAGTATGGTAATGTTTTAGTCTCTTAGAAAAGGGAACATGGAAGGTTTTTTTAAAAACTAGATGATATTAAGTAGATAGAGTTCACTGGGACTGAGAGAAAGTCTTTGTTTACAATTTCATCTGTAATAAAATAACTATAATAATAATTATAATAACAATAATAACAATAATAATAATTCTTTCTTCCTTATTTTCTGTATTTGAATGCTGTCAAATAATGTATTATTATTATTATAATTATTATAATAATACTAATAATAATTGTTGTTATTATTATTATTATTATTATTATTATAAGTAGTGTAGTAGTAGTAGCAGAAACACTTGTAGTAGTGTTGGTCATAGTATTACATATTATTTTTCTAGTCTTAACACTTAAATGCAATATTTTAAATGCTTCCCAAAACAGTTATGTGTGTGTTTCATTGGTACATACACAGATAGAGCGTGTTGCACGGTTTGTTTGGTTCAAACTAAATTCCATTTTGATGTTCACCACTTTTGCTCTATTCTACTCTATTCTATTCTATTCTATTCTATTCTATTCTATTCTATTCTATTCCATTCTGTTCTACATCAGTCTATCTATCTAAGCACTTCGTCTGCATCCTATATTTAAATGTGTTGTGTCATCAATCAGCTGTTCAGTGCAGACTGGTAATTTCACAAACTAAATGTTGTTGTTTAGTCCTGAAATGTTTGAGGCTTCAGTAAAGACAACACTGAGGAACGACGGCTGGAGGGGTTAAAACCAGACGAGTGATTATTTTAAGGTGAAACGTCCTTTTTTAAAAATAAGCTGTGCCACAATGGATTTACTCTGTGGCTCAGGGTGTTTAGCTGAAATGAGAGTATACTGTTTAAACCCTGCCATTAAAGCTCTTCCAAACTGGATTCAATGTAACATTTCTAAACACAAGACTAAACAGAGCAGGAGTGAGAGCATTGGACGACAGGCTGCCATCTACAAACTAGACTCTTAGAGACAGGTTGTCAGAAAAGGAGACTGTTTTTTTCCCCTAGTGTATGGAACAAGGCTTTGACAGAGAAATCAATGAAGAAAAAAAGCTCAGGTATTGAGAATATGATGCACTTCACCTGGGCTGAAGGCCAACTGTGCTCACGTGAAAATAAACACTGGACTCCGGCAGCTTTTCCACAATTTGTTTGTTTTGGAGACATGACAACAACTTTTCAAATATCAGAGCCACTAATCTGATTTATGGGAAGCAGAGCAGTCACTGTCCCCAAGCATGTTGGACACAGATGGATACTGGCACTAGACTGACACGGGTGTACACAGAAATATGCTGAAGTTTGAGGCACAATTCTTTAGCAGAGACCTGCAGAAGATGTTACATGACCCATGCTACATAGATACAAACAAATAATAAATGGTTTAAGATTAATGAATTACATCTGTAAAGCTTGGCTGTGAACTGACCCCACACCATAGTGGTCACTTATTCCTTCTTCTTTTGCAACACATCACTTGAGTTCTTTGCTGTCATCTGCTGGCTCGATTTCCCATGAGTTATCATGGAGTGAAAGAAAGAAGCACAGAGGTGAGACCTTGACTCTGAAGATGGAGCACCTAAATTATGTGTTTATCAAGTTTTCCTTAAAAACTATTTGAACTAGTTAAATTTGCCTTGATAAAAATGAAAATAGCACATTTTTCAGAACACTAATATTGTCTTTTTAACAGCTTTATTATTAAAATCTGTGTGAAAGAGGCAGATGGCAGTTGATGAGTACACACAGACAACAAAGGGCTAGAATGACAGAAATAAATGTCAATGAAAGACTATTATGTACTTCAAACAAAGACAAAACAACAATTTTTCTTAGATATTTTTGGGCAGAAATAGCACATAAAGACGGTAATTATTATTCTCTATTTTACTACTTTTTCTTCTTTTTCTTTCGGCTTTGTCCATTTTTTCACGGGGTTTTTAGTGGTGACTGAATAACGTAATATTCGGCACCAACATCTTGGTCCTTCGAGCCTGATCTTAACGGATGACGTCTGGGACGACGGGAAGACGCCTGTGAAGTCTGTGCACAGCAATTCAAGTACACCTTTCACCGTGGCCAGTTGATGTCCTCCCTCGCCCTTCACTGAATCCAACGGGATCCGAGGCAGTACAGGCAAGAAGCAGGAAAGAACC